TTTTTCCATTCTGTGCGGGTTAGAAAAACACATCCACTGTTCAGTGGCTTTTGTTGAGTTTGAAGGATCCTTCTCAAAGTAATTCCAACCTATTTGTTCCAATCTTTCCACCTAAAATTTTCTCTGTTTTGTAGCCTATAGCATTTTCAATCGTTTTCCCGTCATTGAAGTTCACTCGTTCTTTGATCCAGTTGATTCATCGTGATATCGCGGTCATTCTTTGTTCAGAGTGGTCGTCACTTAAAATTTTCATTGCAGATTTTTGAAATGTTAACTGGTCGAGCTCTGTCGTCATTGCTCCGATATTACAAATTTTTGCCGTGTTCCAAATCTATACAATCGTTGAATGTCGCTTTCAATTCTGGCTTAGTGCGGTCCGCTTCCACTAAACGGGTTGAGTTCATATGTGGAGAAGAGAAGTTTGTTGGGACGGCAAAGGTAGGCGTTTCTGCTCAAGTTTCACAATTTATTTTTTCATTCGACTGTTCCATCTGACTGAACTTCTTTTTACGGAAGTCGACTGGTTTTCCTCTTAACTAGCTGCACATTTTTACAAGCGTTTCTCGAATTTCCTGGCTTCACAGTGTTTGTCTCTCATTCTATAGTTAAGATCATTGAATAATCAAATAAGCTTGCTATAATTCCATAGTGACAGGAAATGGTTTTAAAATGAGAGACTGCAAAGTGAAAGTGGTATTCGTTTTGGAGTCAATTTTTTGTCTATTTTAGCTGGGAGATACCTTACTAGATGTTGTTGTGAATAACGATCTACCTTTGGATGGTTATGGCGCTTGTGAGGGTGAGTTTTACATGATGCTTTTTTCGCTGGTATTCTCCAAATGTTTCCAATACTCCTTCATTTATTCTGAAATAGCTATAGAGAGGAAGCCTTCAAAGGGTAGTTTGTATTAATTTTAATGGTCCTCTCTTTCCAATCAATGCATCTTACTATGCATACTGAAGCTTATGCGGTCGTCACAGTGGAACTATAGCACTTTATGGATCCTCCTTGAACGACAATCTTTTTGGACGGTAAATTAGACTCTGGCATTCAGCTATTGCGAGTGGACCTTTTCCGCGTCTAAAAGGATGCTTCCTCCTCTTTTTGCATGTTGCTTTGACCTTAAGTTAGATACTGTGCCAGACCGCGAGGGACCTCAATGCGGGGTGCTCAAGCTCCAAGTTGACGTCCGATGAAATTTCTGGCCTGACTCACGCCCAAGTTTACTGAAATTGGAGAGTCCTAGAAGGGACGAGTTCTCTATCGCCGCTAGCTACATATCGGTCTGGTGAAGAATGGGATCATTTTTATGATTCGACGATTCCTAACTTGGAATAAGGTCCGAGCATGCTTTTACATTTATGTTACAAATCGCAGTGGAGTTACTCGTAAATGAGATGTCCAAAATTTCTAATGCTTAGTGACCATGTGTTTTCCTCATACTAACATTTTCATAGGTAGCAACCATTGAAACTTATAGTTATTTTTATAGGCACACTTGCATGTTGTACGTGTCATGTAGTACTTTCACTAGAACATTTTGAACGAGTGGAGCGGATCAATCCAGCCGGAGAAGAGGAGCTGGATCTTCTTGATCTAGCCCCAGAGTTGAGCGACTATTCCCGACTGGGTTGTCAGGTCAGTGCGACTGTTCATCACCTTTTTTCCTTCTTCCTTTCTTATTTTTGCTCTTTTCTTTCTTCCTCTTCTTATTTTTTGTTTTGTCTCTATTGCCACGTTGTTTTATTTGTCTCGTTTGGTGGCTACAGTATGTATTATGCTGATCAAATGCAAATAACATTACTTATATCTCGATCTGAGGATTCATAAACTTGTAATGCCGTGAATTCATTGCAACATAAGCAGCAAAATTAGTGGTACTTCGTCCGGACTTTTTACCGCCTCCTCTCAGCGTTCATTAGAGTATGTTACGGCTCTTATATTATTTCATTCGATGCATATGTAATGCTGGTTGCGAATCCCTCTAAGGCAAAGTTCACGCTAAATTTGAGGCCTTCAATATTAGATGAATAATGAATGTAGCGTCCGAAGTAGTGGCAAAAGTGTCAAAGTAAACGCGGAAATCGGCGTATTGGCTTCGAAAAAAAAGTAGAATTAAGGGTTGGACGAAAATGTGACGGTAGAGTTTGCATGGAAGGGGTATTTGGACGAGCTGTTCAAAAGTTAGGCCACTGCATACAGCTGGCTGCAAAGCTGCCATCGTACAAGATGCGAACGGTGCAACTTCTACAGCTTTGACGACGCTTAAGTCTCGTCCTCCCTGGGCGTGTACTTCGGCTGAGCTGGCTTATTACTCCCTATCTTGGCCGCTTCCGGTCCCGACAGCGACCCTCAAGCTAACCTTGGGAGTCATACGTTTACAAAAGGAAAAATTCAGAAACCATTATAAAGTGAACTGAAGTGCCTTTACATTTACGCTTTTACTTTCTCGATTTCACATTCCCTAGTTTTTTTTTTNTTTTTTTTTTCGAACAGTATTCAACTGGTTTTTTTTATTTATTACCTCATCATCATGAATACACCATTCCAGTCGCATGAATAATGAAGCCTCCTGGGCACAGTGGTAGCCTTTTTTAGTAGCAGGATAACTTTTGAATATATTTCCCAGATGAAGCCAGATCAAGTTTTCCACTTATTTCAGGTACAAGTAGAGGCGGAGGATCCAGATACGATAGTTGTCAAAGTACCTGTGCAGAAAGTGGATGCCCGGACGTTAGAATAGGATGTATTATCGAAGAAATTATTCCTTGCTCAATAGGATACTAATGATTTGTCACGTTACTTCTTAGAATATTAGAATTTCAGTTATGATTTGTTATTATCGTCTCTTTTCATAGGAATTGAGCTCTACTTTTTTGTTGTGAGGCTGCTATTGCCCTTGAGGTCCCTGCAACCCCTCAACGTAGACTTACTGTATTATGATGGCAACTGAATAACGGTGTTTCTTCTAACCATAAGTAGTTGAAACATTAATCGTAAAGGGTACCTACCTTTTCTTTCAAGGTAATTTATATCTGAAGGGCGTAGGTGGTGTAGTGGCAAGTGCCGCTCTATCCAAACGCCTGGTCAAGGGTTCAATCCCGGATTGATATCCGCCTAGGCCAACCAAGGCTTCTATCTCTCCTGGTACTAATTGGTACAAGTTTAATCCGGGTGGATAAAAGCTCTGGCTTGTACATCGACTGGTCACGCAGGACATTGTAGAGTCAAAATACGCATTCAATGCGGCACTACGATTCTGTGTGGAAGGCGAATGGTACCTCAGAAAGGGTTGTTAACGCCCAAAAACTTTATCCCTGGTGGATACGATGTTTAATTGAACTGTCACTTTTGAAGTGTGAGACTCTACGGTCAATAAGTCAATTTTGCTCAGTTCGCTCTTCGCCGTGAAGACTTGCTTTATTTCTGGTTACTCCAGGTATACCAAGTGGTTCATGATAATTTCTGCCTTTCATGCTATGAATACATTCATAGCATGAAAGGCCCTTTGCTGAGTGAGTCATGCGACGTCTTCGTGGAAACGGCTGCCTTAAAGGCACAGTTCACGAAAAAATGGTTTCGGAGACTTGCACATGGTTTGTATTCGACGCCCCCTCTGATACCAATTGTGCAGGAATGAGGTCGGAAAACGGTCTGGATAGGGCACAATAAGGGGTCGGAGAGTGAGCCACGGTCGCCCTCCCTCCCTCGCTAGGCTGACTACGAAATCTAATTGTTGTTCACCACTTTCGCATTGGAGTGAAGTTGGTGGAAAATCGATAAGCTGGTTGGCAAATTGCCAGAGACGGTCAGCTGGTCGACTGCCTCTTTCTGGTACAAGTATTCGG